GGGATGCTGTCCGTCAAAATGCAGCACTGTAGATATTTGCGAAATGCGTTAGGTGATTTGTGCAAGGAGTTTCACTCACTTATGCACCGTTCATGTATCGTTTGGTTTTCCGTTTGGCGTGTGGTGTGTGCGGGCCTCAGTGAATCATTTGGCGTTATGATTATGGCTGAATTTAACCAAAGGGTTATTTGCGCACGTGGGTGCATATACGTCTTGCTTTCCCACTGAGGTGTGCGTGTGTACGTGCGATGCGCCTCCGCCGACGCCTAGGATCAGTACAGATCAAGTGACGTGATTTAAGGTCTGGGTGTCGTGGTAACAATCGTGTTTGTTCCCATCGCGTTTACAGGAAGATACCTGTCGTATATCTGACTTTCATTTCTGTCGCCCAATCAACTGCTTCCACGTATCCTTGTTTGTCTTTCTGTCTGTGAATCTGACTACCGATCGATAAACGGAGAGTTATTCTGGGTTTTACCTCGGGTGTCTCCCTGTGATATTTTCCACCACCCTATTTCTCTTCGTAAATCGATGTTTTGAAATATTCGCCTATGATCTGTTTCGACAATAGGATCCTCTGCCCATGTCGTTGTGCTTTATCGTTTGTTTAGGTTCCTTTTCCTGCGTTGTTGTGTCGGGGCTTGTGCACAATATCGGACACGCATATATTTGTCAGGCAATGCAATGTGATCACGGGCCATGACTACAACACATTTCGTCATCATGCCCCTGTCACCTAATCACTAGTTTGTAGCAGATTAACTGGGCCTATTTGCACCAGTTGATCCGCGTGGCGTGGAAGATACTATTGTCCGTAGTTGGGTATTCCATATATAGACTAATTATATTGCATTATGTAGCTTTAGCAATCATGGAAGCTTTCGTATGAGTTAGAAAGACTACACACACGCCGACCGTCACACGTGGGACACATTCCACGAAAAAACGATTTGTTCACAGAGATCCTAGAAACAGCTCATAGTCCAAGGTTAACACGTAGGTCACTTGGTAACCTCAATTTGTAAGTACGCGTGCTAGGTTGGACACATGAATTTCGGTAGACCTTCCAAGAGAGTCGAAACGTCGTCAACCGAAAATTGTTGTTTTTGGTTTTCTCTCGTTGTAGCTAATCCAAACATTCCTATACGGATCTAATAATTTCGGTAGACGTTTATACGAGGTGATATTTGTCGGAATTCAGAGCATGTGGAGGGATGGGATTGATAGTGTGTTAATTCATTGTGCAATGGGTGGTTAGGTTTGGCAGGACTCCTTCGCATAAGAATGAAACAAGAAGTTGTGCGATGATCCGGAAGTTCCGCAGTTTACGGAAATTGAGGAAACGCGACTAGTAATGATCTGACTTCTGGTTAAACCTATTAAGTCTTGTTTAAGTAACCCAAATAAAATAAATAGAGGACACTGAAGTAAGAAAGAGAAGACCGTGGCATACAAAGTAGAAATAATTGACTGTGAAATGCAAGACTGTTTGAATGCTCGAATAATATGCTTCTATCATCTCAGTCTGTTTATTTGACTAGTAGTAAAATTTATTCGGTGATACATCACTTCAGTCTGCCAGCAAGTGTGCTTGAGTCAAGGACAATCCCTCCTATCACAGACTGTTCATTATTTTTTTTAAATTCATAAGTGGACATTCAACAATGGTATGGGGGTGATCGATTTCCGGTTATCCGTTCACTCTCACGTGACGCATATTGCCTGTGTCACTCCCTTGTCCCTATGGTCTATCCGCTTCACCGGGTAATTCTCTTATTGTGTATGGAATCTCTGGTTGCAAGAAGAATGACAGGTAGAACAGGCTATCCAATTCCATATTTTACGAATTCAGAAAAATCATGCTGACCATTCTCTTGAACCGGCCTTATGCTCCCCATCGCTTCGCTTGAATAAAGCTCATCTCCAAAGTAGGGTGACGATAGCTGGCGACACGAAACCGGAGCACATGTTTTGACGACAGTGATTACAGTCGAGGATGAATTAATGATGTGGCGATAATATGACCGTTCGTTGAATTTGCTTGCAGCGTGGAAGGGTTAGAAAATAAGTGTTCTCAGCCAAAAATATCGAAATGCACATGAGCAAACTTAAATGGTTTCTAATCTACATCTGCGACATCTTGCTTGAGCGAATCCAATTAAAGTTATGCAATTAGCTGTTAAAAGTGATCAACATCTGACGTGTCATGAACGCATAAAAACTCTGATCGGAGTGGGGAAGACGCACGATTATACATACAGCTCGCATTGAGTTTCCCGGTTGAGAATTTCGTGATCAACCAGTACCACGGGCGAGAGAGAACCGTTTCTTTTCTGATCGCATCTCGTCTACCTGATATCTTGTCAGTACACTCAGTTTTTGGCCTCTTTCATATTACTCACTAATCCACCAAAAGGAGGGTTGACAGTCAGTGATCAAAAACAGTCGCACGACTGTGCAGATTCAACGAGGTGAAGTTCAATAATAATACTATATTGATAATGATGATAATAACAATAATATTAACACGATACCCCACGCACAAGCCCGTTCCGCACAGATGATGTTCTGCTGACCCTATTCAATGGTCTTTATATCACTGACAGTACACCTACTCTAGCCCCTCGATATACTATCTGTAATAGGAGGAAGAGAGAGAGGGAGTCTATCAACCTGGATCATTTCTATTGTCTAGCGAAGTACAATCCAACTGAACTAAGTTTGCTCAAGCGTCGTAGTGTGTATCTCATTCAAAAAGTATCAGATATTCTACGTTTTTTGATTTTCCAAACTTTAGTCCATACACCTATCTGTTAAGTTTTTTTCACGATTTCCACGAGAGGCGGCCAATGGAAAAGTCTGTGTATGTGTGTTTACGCAAAACACAGTTGCAGTTGCCGAATCTCGACTAGTTCTCTCTCGTCACAATTTCTATCATGTTTCCAAACGCAACTCGATGCACATGTGCATGACGGATTCGTAATTACTCGTTTTTTCTCGTTTCTCTCCGAGTTGAACTCAGGAATAGTATGTGTTGAGAAATCCGCTCCTTTTTGAGCATCTTTCTTTGAGAAAGTGTGAATATTCACTTCCGTTCGTCTGTCCAGCCACCTCCCTGAACCACCCAGACTGTTTTGCTTGTTTCTTTTTACAAACATAACACCTGTTCACTCCGTTCGAAGTTCTCTTGCTTGCAATGTGTATCCCTAGCACGCGTGGAAAATGCTTGTTCTCATCATACTAGATTGTTTTCCCGGTTGGGGATCATCTTTAAATGCGATGGAAGTGTTTGTGAGTGCCGGCAAAGTGCACTGGACAGCCGTTTTGTCCCAACCCGAAGGTTCGCGGTTCGAGTACTGGCAGGGGCACACAAAAATATGCACTGCTGACGAGTCCCAAACAGCTGTCTATTGCTCTTTGTCGGTAATCACAAATACTTCTATCGCATTTAAATGCATTCAACTAGTGGGAAACCATTGATTTCCCAAGGAGTGAAACCCACACCCAAGGCCATCAAGAGTACCTGGTGCCTCTAAACAATCGAATGGACTAAGCCAAGCTTGATACTCTAAAAGGGATCATCTTTGTTTGGAATGCTTCCGTCTGAGTGATAACTCCCTTTAGATTGGGATTGAGAGGTAGCCCCAGTAACACCTGGCTATTGTGTTGAGAAGTTACAACCGGGACCTTCTTCTAGCCAAACTTGATAGGCTTACCAATAGGATGGTGTTCAATCAAATGGATCTTACGTGCCTAGGACGTGCTTCCTCCGTTCTGAATGCACAGTGTGTACCTTGTTGCCCAATCAAGTAGGTGACACACTCGGGTGTCCCTGAATAATTTCTCCTTGGGAGATTTGAGATCGGGGTTTTCTAGATCCCCTAGTTCACGAACTGACAAACTGGCTTTGGGTTTCGACTGGGTACGTGGAACCGTCGTTTGCCTCAAGTAAGAAAGCCGTTATTTTACTCAAAATCAGAAATGTTCATTTTCCGTTTTTCATCACCATAAACCTTGCTCAGTGCTTCCCGCGGTTTTGGTTACTGTACTCCGACCAACCTTTTTGTTGATCGATGGGGAACGCGTAAATGAGAGAGTTCGAAAGCGGAGACCAGTATCAATAGTAGGGGACAAAATGTAAGTAGCAACAGATCTGGTCAGAACGCGTGGATAATCGAGCGCCGCCGATGTGATCTGTATGGCTGTCTCCTGATCAGAACTTTCCTACTCTAATACTAGGTGATAATTTGATCAATCTTGGCCTTGGTGAACATCTCACGTTGTGGCAGTCTATCCGGAATCATATGTAATACGTCCCATCCATCGTGATCTATAAGGTTAGACATTTAGGTCAATAAGTGATTGTGATTACCTAAAAAGAGATGGCTAACCTCAGCATTGCTTGTCCGACCAGTTTCGTACGCGTACGCAGCGTTGTTCCAACGTTGGCGGTTTCTTTTTATTATTCTTCTGTAAAGACCAAGTCTATGCACCTGATATGAGCACAGACTAAATAGTTACAGTATGCTCTTTACTATCTACAGCCATCAGATAGTCTCGGTGGCAGCAAAGATGCCTGAAGTTGACAACCGTCAACCAAGCGTTCTTTTCGCATACCAAGATTCGTCCGATTGGTGAGATGTAGCTACCGCAGTAGCTAACAAATATTTCCTCTGCTGCTTCTCCTGTGAAGGGTGTATCGGAAGCTGAACCAATCCAATCTGGTGACAACATTCTACACCTCGAAGGTGCAAAACATGTTGAATACTAGCACTCAGACCGTCCAGGATAGCTTGAAACTGAACCGAATCTTCACTCTACGATGCCATCTCGCCTGCTCACTCCTGATCAAAAAACTTACCACCCGGGTATAGGATCGATTTCGCAATCCTCGCACGGGGAGGGGCCATTTTGGAAATCGAACATAATTTAAAGTTGAAAACAATGTCTGCTTGACCACCACATCGCAGCGTTGCCACGCCTATTCTTTTGTTTTGGAGTTCGGGTTTTCGGTTATCATGCTTGAATCGTTGACTCCCATGACTTTGGGATTTGTCCGTCCTGCCTCGCATCACACACAACTTTGTGTGACAAAAAGTAGCGAATCCACTCCCAAAATATCACTCATCGATCGACATTCTGTATCATGGATGGTTATATTCGCGCATCACGGTATGCGTCCAATCGATGCAAATGACGTGGCTGCGTTGATTCCGAAGCGTAACATTCGACTCGGTTTCAATGCCGCCTTGTGTCGTGTCTCGTGAGAGCAGTACACACGTAGTCTACTCTGAACCAGAAATCGTTGAAGTACATGACTGTATTCAATCTGTGCACTCGATGAAACTGGGTATCCCGGTGATCAATACAAAACCAATCATGTGTACTTGCTTGCCCCACCTATCTCATCAGATCTATCACACACATTCATGCACACTCAAGTGAACAATAATTTTACACAATACTCCTATGTGCTTCCCTTTCGGAAGATAGAACTGACTGCTCCTATCGCATACTGCCACACGAGCTTTATTATTACCATGTTTTGTGTGTTTGAGGGAGGGGGGGGGGGGGTAAG